CCACCCACGGCAACATAGCAAGACCCCAGCTTAGGGGAAAAAAAAAGCTCCACTGGCTGATGCCTGTAATCCTAGCACTTTGGGAGGCTGAGGCAGGTGGATCACTTGAGGCCAGGAGTTTGGGATCAGCCTTGCTAACATGGTGAAACCCTGTCTCTACAAAAAAAAAAAAAAAAAAAAAAAGAAAATTAGCCAGATGTGGTGGGATGTGCCTGTAATCCCGGCTACTAGGGAGGCTGAGGCACAAGAATTGCTTAAGCCTGGGTGGCGGAGGCTGTAGTAAGCCGAGATCGTGCCACTGCACTCCACCCTGAGTGATGGTGTGAGACCATGTCTCAAACCCAAAACAAACAAACAGATAAAAACTGTACCCTTCAGATAGCAAAATACGAATTTTCAAAAGTAAGAATTAAACCACCTCAGTGATGAGAAAATGGCAGATGTCAAGAAGAGCGAAATGGGAAGGAAAGAGGGAGTTGGGGAATAGGGAAGAAGAAGGGTACAATTTAAAACAAGATGACCAATCTAGCATAGTGACTCACACCTGTAATTTCAGCACTTTGGGAGGTTAAGGTTGGCGGGTTGCTTGAGCCCAGTAGTTCAAGACCAGCCTGGGCAACATAGTCAGACCCCATTTCTACAAAAAATACAAAAATCAGCTGGGTGTGGTGATGTGGGCCTATAATCCCAGCTACTTAGAAGGCTGAGGCAAGAAGATGGAGTGAGCCTGGAAGGTCGAGGCTGCCGTGAGCTGTGATCATGCCACTGCACGTCAACCTGGATGACAGAGCAAGACCTTGTCTCAAAATGAAAAAATAAAATAGGGCCGGGCGCGGTGGCTCAAGCCTGTAATCCCAGCACTTTGGGAGGCCGAGGTGGGTGGATCACGAGGTCGAGAGATCGAGACCATCCTGGTCAACATGGTGAAACCCCGTCTCTACTAAAAATACAAAAAATTAGCTGGGCATGGTGGCACGTGTCTGTAATCCCAGCTACTCAGGAGGCTGAGGCAGGAGAATTGCCTGAACCCAGGAGGCGGAGGTTGCGGTGAGCCGAGATCGCGCCATTGCACTCCAGCCTGGGTAACAAGAGCGAAACTCCATCTCAAAAAAAAAAAAAAAAAAAAGAAAAAGAAAAAAGAAAATGAAAAGAAAACCTTATGACCCTTGCAAGGGCTTTGGCTTTTACACCAAATCAGTTGAGTTTTAAGCAGAGGAACAACATGCCCTAATTGGCATAGTCTTAAAGGACCCTTCTGGCTGCTGTTTTGAGACTAGGTAATAAAGAGTTAAGGTTGGGAATGGGGAGGAGCAGTTAGAAAGCCACTGGAAGAACCCAGGTGAAGGAGATGGCGCACAGGCCCTGGGGGGTGGTGCTGTGGTGTGGGATGTGCTAAGATCCATTCCGAAGGCAGCAATGAATCTGTTGCTGACGAGGGGTTAGAGGAAGGGGTCAAGAATGCCTCCCAGCTTCTTGTCTGAGTGCCTGGAAGGATGGTGTTGTCATTTCCTGAGGCAGGGAGGGCTGTGGAGGCACCGATGAAGGGCCAGAAGAGCTGGGTTTGGACCTGGAAAGTTGGAGATACCCGTTGAACCCCCAAGTGGAAACAATGAGTAGGGTGTTGGATCCAGGAGAGCAGGTGCTGGCTAGAGACAGAACATAGAAGTCCTGGATGCCAGGAGAAGAGACAGGCTCCAGGAAAGAGAGAGCAACCAGTTGTGCTGTTGGAAGGGGAACACAGAGTCAGCCATTGGGTTGGATCTGGGAGTTGCGTGTGACATTGTCGAGGGCAGCTTTGGTGAAGTGAGGGGTTGGGCAGCCTGCCGGCAGAAAAGGAAGAGTTGGCAGGGAGAGTCAGTGTTTTCAGGAGTTTCACTCTATGGGGAAGCATAGATGATGGCTGGAGGGGAGAGGGAAGGGATCAAGAGAGGATTTTTTTTTAAATGGGAGAAATAACTCTATTTGCATGGTGATGAAAGCGATCCACGAGGGAGAGGGAAATTGGCAAAGCGATATTTGCACTAAATTGTATTCTGCTCTAGATGGTCAGAGCATGGGTGATTTTTGTTTTCTCCTTGTGCTTTCCACTATTTTCCAAATTATCTAACATGAATATGTATTAATTTTGTAATCAGAAAAAAAGCCATTAAAATCCACAGAGCTGATTGCTCAAGTGAAGCTTTTCCATGGTGACTCATCCTAGGGGGAAAAAAAAAAAAAAAAAAAAAAAAAAAAAAAAAAAAAAAACAACCAAAGGGCTGAAAAGAACGAGGAGGTGAAGAAAAATTAAATGCAAATAGAGCTCGCTTGGAATCAGATAATTTCTTGCCTGGCCCGCTGCAATTTCCTCACCACCCTCCTGCCTGTCAGTCTCTCCCTGGCCCTGTCCCCAACTCAACACTCTCACTGTCAGGGTGGGTTTTCTGAAATGCAAATCTGATCGTGTCAAATCACCTCCGGTGGCTCCCCCCTAGTTTTCAGGAGAAAATCCTGACCTCGTCTCATGGTGGAGGACACTCTTTGCGATGGGGTCTGGCCTCATCGCCAGTCACGGTGGGGGCCCCCCCTTCCTCTGGCCAGCCCCCCTCACCTGCTCTTCAGCACACCGTAATTACTGCCTTCTCAGAAGCATGGCGTGCAGTGCCTCTTGTATGCGCTTCCATAGCAACGGCCCTCACTCCATCAGCCACTCATCCACTCCATTGTAATCACCGATTTACTTCCCCTCCATCCCCATCCCTCCCTACCCCCCTCGACCCTCCAGCTCTCCTGGATACAGGACTGGGTTTTTATCTCTGTGTTTCTAGCCCCTTGCCCTATGTGCAGCACACAGTAGGTCTCTCTGTGTCTGGGAGTGGAATGAATGGCCCTGCCTCATGTTTCTCAAGCATCCCTCTGATCACAGGGCAGAGGGAGGGAGAGATTCCAAAATCTCCCCTGCCTCTGGCAAAAGCAAAAACCAGCATTGAGGTTTTCCAGCCCGGTCCTGGCTGGAAACACGACCACTGGCACCAAACACGAACACTCCTCCTTCCTTTCCTCCTCCTAACGAATGTCCATTAATTCCACTGACATTTATGAATCCCCAACAGAGCGGCAAGTCCTACCATAGGTGCTGGGGTAGAAAGATGGATGTGGAGCGTGGAGCTGGACCTTCACTGAGGGGAGGGGCCAGGGGAACAAAGACCGATGTGTGAATAACATTGTGTCTCTCCTGAACACCCCAACAAAGCAAGTCATTCAGCAGACAACCGCTAAGGGCCCACCCTGCAGGGGCATTGCCAAGTACTTGGCTGAGGAGATCCAGAAGACAGAGAGAAAATTGCACCCCTGCCTCTGTATCCGAAATACAAGACTGGACGCCAAAACCTGAGGGGTGCGAAGCCCTTAGGTCCTGTGAGCAAATCTCAGCTTCCCTCCGCCTGGACCCCTCCTCATCATCAACCACAAATCCACACAACAGCCACCCCCCAGCCCCGGCTCCCTCTAAACCAAAATATGATCATAAGTATGACAGTGAGCACTTGATCACTGCAGGAAGAACGAGTTGGTGAAAATCCTGCCTGGCTGGATCAAGGCTAAGAGGTCACAGCGTTTTCCTGAGAGGGAGGGCAAAGCGCTAGAGGGACTCAGGACTGCGGATGTGATGAGAGCCCTTGGGGGAGATTCAGAGGGGACTCTGGGGCCATCTCTGATGTGCAGAAATCAACAGAAAGTTTTTAGAGACCTCTGTGTATCTGTTTGCCAAATGCTGTGGAGTTCCCAGGGTGGGGCTGAACCAGGGAAATGGAAACTTCACAATAGAGGCCTGGGCTAAAAATGAGAATGTTCTCTTCTTTTGATGTGGTAGCCCCTTTTGTCTGTGGGAGTTGCCCCATTTTTGTTTGTAGGGGATTTAATTAGAGAACTATACCACCCCCACATGTTGAGCGGGAAACAGATGTGCCTGATGAGGGATAAAGGTCTTTGAAAGGACCGAAGTGCCCCAGAGCTGCACTCGCTCGCCTGGGAAAGGAATGCTGCCTAATGCGTTGATCCCTTGGCATGCGGTGTCAAGTGTGTGCGCCCCGCCCAGGGAGGCTCTGTGTTCCCACACTCGGAGCCCTCGGGGGAGATCAGCGCCATACAACAAGGATGGGAATGAATCTTTATGGATACAGTTCCACAGGTACACAGCCAGCAGCAGCTGCTGCAGAAAGATGCAGCAGGTGGGGGTGGGAGGAACCTAACCAAGGAGTGGTACCCACAAAGATCTCCAGGAAGGAGGCTGTGCTACTAGCACCTTTCAGGGGCTTTTGAGGATATTCCAGAAAATAGAACAATTGAAACAGAATTTTACAATGTTAAGAAAAGATGCAGGGAAGGCAGCAGGGAGACTGGGGTGTCCAGGATGAGGGCTACTTGCCCTACCCAAGAGTGGGTCTATAGCTGCTTCTCCCAAAACAGTTCCTCTAGGAGAATCCTGCCTGGGGAAGATGCCCCATGCAGACAGCCATCAGTGGAGGTCAGGGGAAGGAAACCACACCAGTGCTTTCTCTGCTTCCTTCACCGTTTCCCACTTCTCTAGAGTAAAGCCGTTCCCCCGGGTACTGGATGGCTGAGACACAGCAGGAACAGGAGGGAGCGATCAGATAAGCAAAGGAAGAAGCTATCTGGGGCACCTTCCCACGATGCTCGGGAGGACTCAGCTAAATCCTCCGGTCTCCATTCTCCCCGCGCCTTTGCTGTTCATTAGCTGCAAATCCGTCCCCAGGAGGACTCATCACAGGCACCCTCTCCACTCCCACACTGTGAGTGCTTCCCCCATGAACTCTGTCCTAGCTTCAGAGTCTTTCTGAGAAGCGTGTGGCCCACTTCCTTCCACAACATGTTCACAAACACGTCCGATGGAGACCAAGAAACAGCATGTCCACTTTTAGCCCTGAGGACATGTCCCCCATGCTGGGCCCCACCCAGAAAGGGAGGCGGAAGGCAGGGCCCCAACGGGCGCAGGGCCTCACCTGGATGTCCTTTATCATGATGCTGTAAGTGAGGCCATGGGACTCCAGATAAGCTTTGATGTCTTTCAGTTCAGAGAAGGGAACTCTCATATCCACGGGGAGACTGGGTCTGGCTGGGCCACGCCAGAAGTCCACCTTGTTCACCAAGGACAGAGAGACATTGATTACTCCATGTCCTTCCACACCACCCTGTAGGCAACCCCAGAGAACCAGTAGACCCTCTTTCTATGCAGGAGATGGGGACAGGGGTGATGTCCCAAGGCCCCCAACAGATGCCTGAAACAGCAGATAGTACCAAACCCTGTATATACTATGTTCTTTCCTTATACATACAGACTTAGGATAAAGGTTTTCTTTTTTTCTTTTTTGGGGGGGAGTGGGATGGGAGATGGAGCCTTGCTCTGTCACCAGGCTGGAGTGTAGTGGTGTCATCTCGGCTCACTACAACCTCCACCTACCAGATTCAGGCAACTTCTTCTGCCTCAGCCTCCTGAGTAGCTGGGATTTCAGGCACCTGCCACCATGCCCTGCTAATTTTCCTTTGTAGTAGAGACGGGGTTTCATTGTGTTGGCCAGGATGGTCTTGATCTTTTGACCTCGTGATCCGCCCGCCTTAGCCTCCCAAAGTGCTAGGATTACAGGCGTGAGCCACTGTGCCCTGCTTAGGCTTTTTTTTCAATTTGTTATTTTTGTGGGTACATAGTAGGTGTATATATTTATGGGGCATATGGGATATTTTGATACCGATATGCAATATGTAATGATCGAATCAGGGCGAATGAGGTGTCTATCACTCAAGCATGTATTCTTTGTGCTACAAACAATTCAAGTACACTCTTTTAGTTATTTTTAAATATATAATTAAATTATTATTGACTGTAGTCACCCTGTTGTGCTATTAAACACTAGATTTTATTCACTCTTTCTATGTTCTTGACAGACCTATAATAAAGTTTAACTTATAATTTTTTTTTGAGATGGAGTTTTGCCCAGGCTAGAGTGCAATGGCGTGACCTCAGCTCACTGCAACCTTTGCCTCCCGGGTTCAAGCCATTCTCCTGCCTCAGCCTCCTGAGTACCTGGGACTACAGCCACAAGCCACCACGCTCGGCTAATTTTTGTATTTTTTTTTTTTTTTTTTTTTTTTTGAGATGGAGTCTCGCTCTTGTTACCCAGGCTGGAGTGCAATGGCGCGATCTCGGCTCACCGCAACCTCCGCCTCCTGGGTTCAGGCAATTCTCCTGCCTCAGCCTCCTGAGTAGCTGGGATTATAGGCACGCGCCACCATGCCCAGCTAATTTTTTGTATTTTTAGTAGAGACGGGGTTTCACCATGTTGACCAGGTTGGTCTCGATCTCTCGACCTCGTGATCCACCCGCCTCGGCCTCCCAAAGTGCTGGGATTACAGGCTTGAGCCACCGCGCCCGGCCTAATTTTTGTATTTTTAGTAGAGACAGGGATTCACCATGTTGGCCAGGCTGGTCTCAAACTCCTGACCTCAGATGATCTGCCCTCTTTGGCCTCCCAAAGTGCTGGGATTACAGGCGGGAGCTACCGCACCCAGCCCTAACTTATAAATTAGGCACAGTAAGAGATTAAAAACAATGACTAATAATAAAATAGAGCAATTATAACAAATGCCAGCATCCCTCCTCTTGTGCTTTGTGGGCATTATTAAGTCAAATAAGGGTTAGACAGACAGAAGCACAGCAACGACTGAGGCAGTCGGTCTGATGGCCGAGATGGCCACTAAGTGGCTAAGTGACTCAGGGAGGGGAGTGTGGACAGCGTGCAGATGTGAGACTTCATCACGCTACTCAGAATAGCATGCATTTAAAACGTATGAGTTGTTTATTTCTGGAATTTTCCATGTACTGTTTTTGGTTGACTGCAGATCAGGAGGAACTGCTACACACTTAAAAGGGCCCCAGTTCCGTGATGAAATCCTCAGGCTGAGCGGAAAGACTGGGACTAACAAAATCCCCAAGGCACTGAGGTTCCTTCCCTAATTTCAAGCCCTGTTGCCTCTACACCTTACTCCTACCCATTGCAACTTCGCCTGGATCCAGAGAGCCCCGAAGATTTCCTGGCTGGGTGCGGTCGCTCATGCCTGTAATCCCAGCACTTTGGGAGGCTAAAGTGGGCGGATCACCTGAGGTTGGGAGTTCAAGACCAGCCTGACCAACTTGGAGAAATCCCCATCTCTATTAAAAATACAAAATTAGCCGAGCGTGGTGGCGCATGCCTGTAATCTCTCAGGAGGCTGAGGCAGGAGAATCGCTTGTACCTGGGAGGCAGAGGTCGCAGTGAGCCGAGATCGCGCCACTGCACGCCAGCCTGCGTAACAAGAGTGAAACTGTCCCAAAAAAAAAAAAAAAAAAATTTTCTCAATGCAAGGCCGCTCTTCATCTGGGACATGAATATGGACAAGCACCTGGTCAGGAAAGGGAGGCCTCATTGCTCCCATCCCTGCAGAAGTAGGAGAGGCCAGATCTGGGTCCCTAGCTCAGCCTGTTGCAACGCCTGTTTTTCAGTTAGTAAAATGGAGAGAAGGATCAGTAAAGCATCATGAGTCCCGGTCGACGGGACACTCAGACGAGTAGGAGCACAAGGGCTTCTGCCACAGCCAGGAGTATCTGGTGGTTCCGACGGCCCCCTAACCAAACTCTTTTATGTAGTAGTACAAGTCAAAGAAAATATTTTCCATTGTGAAAACCTGCAGAGGACAAAAGTTCTCAGGAAAGATGTTCAGGCCGAAGGGGACCAACCCAGGTAAAATCCAGGTTTGCCAAGCTAGGCCATTTCACTTGGGAGGCCAATTTGTCCAGTCTCCATGCTGGGTGGCATCCCACCCAGAGACACTGTGCCCCCACCATGTGGCTTTAAGAAATTCCCGCCGTTTGGAGATTGGTGCCCTGATGGCTTGTAGCAGCCCCCTATCCTGAAGAGAGCGGGTGGCTAAATGAGCCACAGCCTAAGAAGGCAGCCTACATTTCCGGGCAGGTGTTTCTGATTTTTCCCGATGAGGAGCCACCTGTGATTTCCCACAGCTCTGTGCTCTTTGCAGGGACCTCAGGAGGGCAGGTTTGGGGTGAGTGTGGCAAGACAAGGAAGCTGAAGTTGTGAGCTGCTGCAGGGGGCGGTGATGTCCCCAAGCCTGACAAGTCCTCACCTTCTGGGGCTTCAGGACCTCCAGATCCCTGAGAAGTGAAAGCTGCTTCTCATCTCTGGCCAGGACTCGAAGAACCTGGTCCCTAGAAAAACACAGAGGGAGCAGAGGAAGCTTCGGAGAAAGATCCCTGGAAGGCTGTGTGTGTCACTTGGATGGGGCCGAGTGGAGCAGAGGCCCAGCTGAGGGCACCTGGCAGGAAGGCCAGGAGGCTCCTTGAGCGGAGGCTGAAGGAGCCCTGAGCAGACAGGACGCACAGGCGGCCCTGAGAAGCACGTGTTCCCTCGGCCTAGCGTCAGTGAGCTCTCCAGCCCCCAGGACAGACCACCCAGGGGCTAAATAAAGCTTGTCAGTGCTACTGATGGACTGAAGGCCAAGCCAGTGGAAGAAGAAATGGAAAGGAATGGGGAGGGAGTGGTGTGTGGAACTGAAGGAATGAGGGGGAGAAAGGAGTAGACACGGGGCTGGGGGGACCAATGGTGGCCCCAAAGGCTCTTCACATGGGGGCCCCAAGGCCATGGTCTGTCTCAACGCTGGGAAGGTGAGATCAGATAACCTCACCTCACCTGACAGGGAGGAAGTTGAGCTCCTTCCCTTCCCAATGGAGGCGGGTGGGAGGTGGCGTAACCAAGAGTCCTGTGGTGCGGGGTACGACGCCTGGGATGGGCTTGGTGCCCTTGCTGGCTGGCTCTGAGACCGTGGGTGAAGAACTCCCTCTCTAAGCTTGCTGTGCCTCCTCTTCTCTACTGTGGAGTGCCCTGAGGCATCCAGCTCAGGACCTCGCGGAAGCTCAAAGCACATCCATAGCGGGCCTGGCATGTAATTTACTAGAACTTCCCGTCATCCATTTTTGGTAGGGGACGTAGTCTTGTGGGGGCTACAGCTTCTTTGAGAATTGGAGGAAAGCTATGAATGCTTTCCTCACCAAAGAAGCCCCTGCTGTATAGGAAAATCATTGCATGTGGTTTCGGGGGATCTTGGAGCCCCGGGGGCCTCCTCCCGGACTCTGGATTTGGGAAGGACTGCCAAGCAGCCAGCCCTGGAGCATCAGAGCGGGAGACTGCGGAGCTGCAAGTGGGTCCAGGACAGGAACCCACATCCTGATTCTCTGCCTCCATCAGGCACCAGCGGGGGCGGTCACCTCCTGCTGGGACATCCGGTCCCCTCCTCCCTCCCGCTGCCGGGCAGCCACTCACCCTGTGAAATTCATTTGGCCCAAAGCCACTGCCAGGATAAAGCTGAAGATCAGGAGCATCTGCCTGTCCATGGGGGACAGCCCAGGGCGCGTCCCTCCTCCAGGGATGCCCTGCATGCTTCTTCCGCCTGGAGAGCTTCAGGGGCTTTCCTTGTGCACCGTGGCCCAGGCCTCAGGACAGCGAAGCACCTAGAGACTGGAAGCCCAACCCGAGAATGAGCATTAGGCTCTCTGGGGGACCCAGCATGTGGCCCCCACATGCCCGGCCTTGGGAGAGCTAGGGCTGCTCCTCCCCAACCCAGCACATCCTCTCCTGGGAAGGGGAGAGGGAGGAGAGAAGGAGGAAGACAGGCCCTTCGCTTTTCTTTTCTCTCGGGAGGTTTGCCAGGCCAGCCCCTTCTGAGCATCAAAGCCTCCATCTCTGGAGAAAGACCAGAGCAGCCAGCAGCCCTGGGACACCCCTCCTTTCCTCCTCCTCCTCCACGGCATCTTCTCTTTTGCTCTTGTTCTACCCCTGGCCCAGTCACGCTTTCTCTGTGCCATCTCCTCCTTACACATAAGGGTGTGACGCCATTGCAAGACGGCTGGGCTTACAGACAAGAGACTGGGCGCTCACTTCCCATCTAAAAGATCTGGAGCAGCTGCCCTAATCTCTCTAAATCTCAGTTTACTCACCCATCAAATGGGGTTAATCATACCTCCCCTCCCTAGCTCACAGGGTTTAGAGGGGTATTAGATGAGACAACTTGAGTGAATTGGCTTGGTAAAGCCTGCAAAATGCAATGTGTTATTATTTCAAAAGCATTAACTCTTAGTCACAGCTGCATTTGAGGTCAGTCCTCCAATGAGGAGAAGGGGAAGAGAAGAGAATGGAGAGGAGAACAAAGGAAATAACTATATATTGTCGGAGAAGGAATTCAATCAAGATTCCCTTTTCTCTATCTTCAGGTGGTCACCATTGTGCTAGCACAGATCGTGCGTTTTCTGCTAGACACGAAGGTCACCACAGTCATTATTATAGTTCTCAACAGACAGCAGAGTCAATTTCTCAGTCCCGCAGAAGCCCCACTCAGTTCCCTTTACAGTCTGGGAATCGCAGAAGTAAAGCAGGGGCCAGCACACAAAGCAGTCATATTTGAAGGAGAAAGTGAAAGATGACGCCTGAATGGCAAATGATGAATCTAACAGAAAATCCACAGGGGGTGGGAGAAAGGCAGAGACTGAATCCAACCAAGTCGTTCAGCAGAGGATGTCAACAAAAGGCCACTTAACTGTCACCGGCGATTCTCAGAAGCCCCCCTCCCCAGCCATACTATCCCAGAATGGCCAATTAACTGACCATGTGTGCAGAGAAGGGAGCTCTTTTATCGACAGAATGCCCGGCTCCCCCGCCCGCCTATCCTACTCCATTATTTTATAGTTCAGCTGTTCAGACACACCAGACTCTTCTAGAACCCCGGCTTTGGGGACTCTCAAACAGTAACATTTGCAAAGGGTTTAAGGACCTAGAAAAGAAAGCAGTTACGCTTTCCACCCAAGTAACATTCGGCTTCAGTAGCAATGGAAATAAAAGGGAATTTCAAAGGAAAAAAATGGAGATGGTGCTAGTCACCAAAAGAACCCAGCGTCTTCTTGTTCAAAACCATCATTTTAAGCCACTAATAATGAGACAACTATCCCTGTACTTGGCTTAGGGGTGGGAATAGAGAGAGTGAGAGAGCAAGAGAGAGAGAGAGAGAAGCAGGAATTTTTGAGAATTCTATGACACAGCTTCCAATAGAACGTTCTCTGACAATGGAAATGTTCTGTGTCCAAGAGGATAGCCATTAACCACTTGAAATGTGGCTAGTGTGACTGAGAAACTGAGTTTGGGGTTTTATTTAACTTTAATTAATTTAAATAAAATTTAAATAGCCACATGTGGCTAATGGCTACCATACTGGACAACAGAGTTCTGTGGGAATTCACCAACCCTGAAAGAACCGTCTCCAATAGCTGGATTTGTTTTTGGTTTTTCTTCCTCTGAGCTCATATTAGACGGGTAATGTGCTGACATCGTAACAAGGTTTGAGGGCGACACATCTCACACATGCGTGCGTGAGCACCCAATTATGCTCACGAACTACAATTACCAGCTTATAGCTGGGTTTGAAGCAGACACATAGCTATGCTTGACCTAATACCTCATGTTGGCTTTTCACTCATAATTAAGTATTCAGCTAATCATTTACTCAGTAAATTTCCGCTGAATACCTACTATGTGCCAGGCCCTTAGTAAAGTCTGGAAGTAAAATAGAAAGCAACACATACCTGGCCCTTACATTTCTAAAGGGGTAAGTAGACCATGAATTTAAATAGCATGCAGATAATGAGTGACCTGGAGACATAATGATAGCCCATTTGACTCCAGATAAGTGTAAAAATATACCTCCTGTTTGTGCTACAAGGGAAAGGTGCATCGTACCATGTGGATGGGTGACGTGGGCTCCATGTAGACTGAAGGAGAGTTTCCTTCAATTAGAAATTTTATTGGGAGGCTTTTATTTCCTGCAGGTGGGTGGGTTAGATACCTTAGCAATCCTAACCAAATGAAAAACTCGAATACAGGATAAAATATTTTTAGTAACAACTTTTTAAAGCCTTCACTGGGTTGGCAAAAAAGTAAGAATCCACAGATCCCAACAAGAAGGAAAAGCCAGACAGACACCCAAGAGGTAAGCAAGCTTTGCCTCGGAGAACTCAGAATGCTGAAGGTTTTGATTTTCCTACTGGCATGTACCATGTATCTCGAATCATCTTCCCGCCGCTTCAAATCTGTCTTTTCAAACCTTCCTTTAGTGAAGGTTTCTGTTTTTATTTATTTGACAATTCTTGGCCAGGTGTGGCAGCTCACGCCTGTAATCCCAGTGCTTTGGGAGGCCAAGGCAAGAGGGGCCCAGGAGTTTGCTTGACCCCAGGAGTCCAAGAGCAGCCTGGGCAAGTCAGGGAGATCCTATCTCTGCAAAAATAAAATAAAATAAAATTAGCTGGGCATGGTGTGGCATGCATCTGTAGTCCTGGCTACTCGAGAAGCAAGCAGATCAATTGAGCCCAGGAGTTTGAGGCTGCAGTGAACCATATTCCAACCTGGGTGACAGAACAAAAACCTGTCTAAAAGAAAAGAAAGAGAAAAAGGAAAGGAAGAAGAAAGGCAAGAAAAGAAAGAGAGGAAGGAAAGAAAGAAGAAGAGAAGGGGAGGGGAGGGGAGGAAAGGAAGGTTTTGCTCCCATTCTTGAAAGGGTTTTTGGGATAGAAATTCTAAACTGATTACTGTTTTCCTCGCAACACATTGAAAATATTATCCTACAGTCTTCTGGCTTTTTGCTGCTAAAAGGTAATCAGTTTGTTGACTTACTGTTCTTCAGAAGGTGACCTCTCTTTGTTCCTGGTTGCTTTGAAGATCTTCTCTTTGCCTTTGATGTTCCACAATTTTATTATCATGTATTCTTGAGATACAACATCATATGTCCAGGTATGGATTTTTGTTTTGCTTGTCTTGCTTGGGAATCATTTGAATTCCTGTATCTGAGTATTACTCTATCACTCGCTTTCCACTATTTTCCAAATTTCTCAGCCATTATATTTTTAAACATTGCCCCTATTCCACTCTATTACCTTCATCTGGAATTTTTGACTCGTTCCGCCTCGTTCTAGCCCCCAAGACTCACAACCATTCTGTTTTATTTCCATTGTGTTGCCTCTCTGGGCTACATTCTGAATAATTTATTTGTAAAAAAAAAAAATTGTGTCTTTATTCCGGTTAACTGATTCTTTCATTGGCTGTGTTTAATCTGTAATTTAATTGATCTGTGAAGTTTTACATTTCAATTGCTACAGTTCATTGATTCTGCAACCTTTTTTTTCACATTTTAACACTACTAAAATCAGGATACATCTTACAATTGGTGGCATTGTGCAATGACAATCAGCAGTATTTTTGATGGTACGTGAAATTATGATGCATCTTATCAAATCAATCCTGTTTTATAGTCAATAGAATATGGTATTCATTTTTCATTTTTGGAAGTTCTACTTGATTTTTTTTTTATTCAAGCCCAAATGACTTGAATTTCTTATCTATTTTAGAATCAGTCAATTATTTCTTTAAATGTATAAGACAGATATTTTATATTCTGTGTCAGATAATTACAATTCCTAGACATTTTAAGCCCATTTCTGCTGCATATTCTTTCCGCTGGTTCTCATTCATGGTGCGTTTTCTCTCATGTCGCATGTCTGTGAACCAGTCATTTTCCTTGAACATTTATCTGTAGAACTCCTTTGAGGCCTAGGTTGAAGGTGGGTTCTTCCTGAGGAGATTTGCATTTACTTCTGTAAGTTGCTGGGGACACTATCAACCTGAGACCACTCTAAATTAAATAGTTTAAGGTTGTTATTTGGCCTGCATAGTTAGCATAAACCTAAACCACAAACTCAGGTTGGGGGCTTACTTGTGGTTATGAAATCTCAGGAAATATTTTTCCCGGCATCATCTAACACCAACGTTTTAAGTCCCGGACAAGAATGGCATGTTATGTGCAAGTGAGTCATCAGAGTTAAAATGTCTTAAGGTCCCAGAATTGTTGGGAGAAAGGAGAGATACTGATAATTTTTCAGATTTTGGTAAATATGCATGTTCAATGAGCTAGAGCAACAACTAGAAGAACAGGCCGAATGCTTTAACTTCCAAACAGGTAGCAAGGGTAAAGGTGAAACGAGATGAAGGAGGAGACAGAAACCAGAAGAAGATGAGGAAAACAGGTCTACAAAAAGGAATTTTTAAAAGTAGAACATAAAAATACCCCAGAGCCTAGAAAAAAAAAAAAGTAGAACCATTTGAAAGGGCATAAAAAGAAGAAACTTGCCTAAATATAGCTGCAATAATACTAAATGTAAATGGATTCAACTCTTCAGTAAAAGACAAAAACAATCAGTATTATTTATTTATGTATTTATTTTATTTATTTTTTTGAGACAGAGTCGCACTCTGTCGCCAAGCTGGAGTGCAGTGGCACAATCTCGGCTCACTGCAACTTCCGCTTCCTGGGTTCAAGCAATTCTCCTGCCTCACATTCCCGAGTAGCTGGGACTACAGTTATGCACCACCACGCCCAGCTAATTTTTGTATTTTTAGTAGAGACGAGGTTTCACCTCTCTTGATCTCTTGATCTGTCCACCTTGGCCTCCCAAAATGCTGAGATTACAGGTGTGAGCCACTGTGTTCGGCCCAATATGATTTATTTAAAATGCTAGCTATATGGCCAGGTGTGGTGGCTCAGGCCTGTAATCCCAGCACTTTGGGAGGCCAAGGTAGGTGGATCACCTGAGGTCAGGAGTTTGAGACCAGCCTGGCCAACATGGTGAAACCCTGTCTCTACTGAAAATACAAAAATTAGCTGGGCATGGTGGTGGGAATAATCCCAGCTACTCAGGAGGCTGAGGTGGGAAAATCGCTTGAACCTGGGAGGCTGGGGTTGCAGTGAGCCAAGATCATGCCACGGCACTCCAGCCTGGGTGACAGAACGAGACTGTCTCAAAAATGAAAGAAAGAAAAAAATACTAGTTATATGGTTTCACAAGAGGCACTCTTAAAACCTAAGAACAGGCCAGGCATGGTGGCTCACACCTGTAATCCCAGCACTTTGGGAGGCTGAGGCGGGCAGAGCACGAGGTCAAGTGATCGAGACCATCCTGGCCAACATGGTGAAACCCCGTCTCTACTAAAAATAGAAAAAAAAATTAGCTGGGCATGGTGGCGTGTGCCTGTAGTCCCAGCTACTCGGGAGGCTGAGGCAGGAGAATTGCTTGAACCCGGGAGGCGGAGGCTGCAGTGAGCCAAGATTGTGCCACTGTACTCCAGCCTGGCGCCTGGCGACAGAGTGAGACTCTGCCTCAAAAAAAAAAAAAAAAAAAAAAAACCAGAACAAAACATAAGAACGCAGAGAGACTTAAATTCAAGAATCGGAAAAATATATTCCAGGTAAATGCTAACAAAAGAAAGCACATGGCCAGGTGCAGTGGTGCATGCCTGTAATCCCAATACTTTGGGAGGTCAAGGAGGGAGCATCGCTTGAGGATGGGAGTTCAAGACCAGCCTGGGCAACATAGGGAGACCCTGTCCCTACAAAAAATAGAAATATATTAGCCAGGCATGGTGGCATGAACCTGTGGTCTCAGCTACTTGGGACACCCCTTCTCAAAAAAAAAAAAAAAATCGGTAATAATTCTAACAAGCAATGTGCAATCCTCCCTGTTCTGAAGTAAGCAGGTATATGCAAACCTGCCCCCAAAGTCTTAAGAATGTGAGAGATCCAAGAAAGAGGCTGACAAATCTGTTTTTTAGAAAGAAACATTTAATAGGGACTTACAAACAGAAGCCATGTCTGTGTCTTAGGTGTTGGTGAAGCGAGCTGGTGGATTCCTGCGCCATTATCCGCCGGACCCATGGCCCATACCACAGAGACAGGATAACTCAGAAGGGATGTATAGGACGGTTGAAGTATGACAGCATCAAGCCTGTGCCAAGCCGAGGGCAGGATTCACGACAAGCACACACTCCCACACAAGGAACAATAGACAAACTGGAAATCCTGAGACCTTCTCCGATCTGGGGGCAACCAGAAGTCAACATGGCAGATTAGCATCCAAGATGGAGTTTCTTTGGCCTCCATACTTCATGGAGACATTTAGAAAACTATTGGAAATTGCTAGCATTCCAAACAAATCTAACAGTATGCTATATTCTTAAACAAGAAAACTCAACATCATCACGCCACTGCACTCCAGCCTGGGCGACAGAGTGAGACCCCCATCTCTACAAAAAGTTAAAATTAGCCAGGTGTGATGGTGTGCCCCTGTGGTCCCAGCTACTTGGGAGGCTGAGGTGGGAGGATGGCCTTCACCTGGTAGAGGCTGCAGTGAGCTGTAATCGCACCACTGTACTCCAGCCTGGGCGACAGAGTGAGACTCTGTCTCAAAAAATAAAACAAAAATAAAAAGAGAAACTCTTGCACATGTCACCAGAACATAGGTACAAGGTTGGCTGAATAAATGTAGATGTCATCATACAATGGAATACAACAGAGCAGAGAAAAGGGGTCAACCACAGCACCATGCAGCCACATGGTGGAACCTCAAAAAGTGTAATGTTGAGTGAAAGAAGTCAAGTCAGAACACACGCTGTGTTTCCATTTATATACATCCACAAAACAACGTATCGTTTAGGAATACGTCCATATGCGGTTACTACAAGGAAAAGAAAGAAAATTATGAGCATGGATTAGTGGTTTTGTCTAGAAAAGGAAAGGCAAGGAGTGTACTTGAGGGACATGTGCAGGCTACTCAATGTTACATTCTTGTTCGTGAGCTGAACAATAGGGTAAGAGTGTTCACTTAATTTAATTTGATTTTTTGTTGTTGTTTTTTTTGGGATGGCGTCTCACTCTGTCCCCCAGGCTGGAGTGCTGTGGCTTGATCTCGGCTCACTGCAATCTCCTCGTCCCAACTTCAAGTGATTCTCCTGCCTCAGCCTCCCAGTAGCTGGGTTTACAGGCACCCACCCACCACATCCAGCTAATTTTGTATTTTTAGGAGAGATGGGGTTTCACCATGCTGGCCAGGCTGACCTCAAGTGATCCACCTGCCTTGGCCTCCCAAAGTGCTGGGATTATAGGCATGAGCTGCCCCACCTGGCTATTAATTTTATTGTTAACAACCACTGAAGTTTTATACGGGATCTTGTACATATGATATACTTCACAATAAAACATATTTTAAAGGAAATACGGGAAAGTT